AAATAGCCTTGATATCGCAACGTGCAAAGTGCACCACAGCTGACTCTATTTTGTTCTATTATCTGAAAACGCCTTTACAACAACTCAGAGAATAAGCAGGGCTCTAATTCACATAATGGCATACATCACCTGTCTGTCAATGAGACATCTGAAAGCATCTTTTTATTAGAAACACAAATCAATATGCCCCAGGGATTACAATAACTGCTGGAAGCAATTTGTATTATCATTTCATCCTTGATGTTCTGGCTCTGAGCAACTTATTATTATGAATGGCGTGAAAATGGCAACCTGTCACAATTGATTTTTCTTAACCTCCCGTAAGTATTTTTTCTCTCTTAAATGTAATCAAGTGTCATCTTATTAAATATATCTCAAGCTAGGTTTTATAAAGCAGTCCATTACTCAAGTTGCACTCCTTATAATTTAAATTTTCACTAAATATTATCGTAAAAGTAATTGCTCAGTAATAAAAAACTTTTGATTTGTTCAAAGTTTTAAAATAAAACCTCGAATGTGTGCGGACCCATCCCCCTGCTTTACACCTGTCCCCAGCTGGCACTACGAGGAAACACCGCAATCCTGAAAAGGAGCTTTAAGAACCTTTTGCCTTATAATTTTCTCCCCTCTAACAATACTGTAGGTTTACTCTGAATCCCTGAGTCTGGATAAACGCTACATTTAAAAAAGCATTCTAACAAACTTCTGCAATAAGCCTACAGCTGGATATTCTGATGATATAAAATGACCCAGTTAGATTTCAGGATTCAGTGTCAAAGACCCATCGAAAAGGATGGATTCAGGTGGGACCTTGGTCAGGCACTGAGCCAGTGGCAGCTTGACGAGCTCACCTAAGGACTCTCTTTGCATCCTGGTCATGGTGACCACGAAGGGCAGTGGCTCTCAGTCTCTTTAGTACACATCAGACCCCACCCTCTGATTTCCGACTCAGAATGGGGGGGGGGGCAGCGTCCAGGGCCCAGAATCTGTCGGTAGGTATGAAGCTCAAGTCACCAACCCAGGGCCACTCTACCGAGGCATGAGGTCAGGCCATGTGGGCCAGATGTCACAGCACGAGGTGGCAGCTAGAGAAAGTGCCTCTATTTTTTAAATACGTACTTGAGACATTTAAGGAGACAGGCAAGGTGTCTGGTTGACCCGCGTTTTGGGTACATGAGTGATACGTGCTCTTCTCCTTACTTTTCTGTTTGAAGATTTCAAGGACAAATGGACAAAATGAAAACAAAAAGGATAAATGGTCAAAATAAGGCGTGGGACGTGAGCTGACTAGAATGACAAGTTTAAAAATTTATTTTATGAGGAAACCAATACAACTGGTTAAATACCTAACATCCATGGGCTCAGCTCTGGGACCAGCCCA